GTTCATTTTAGTGCCCTCGGAATCAAAGACCACGATCCTCATCAAGGCTTGTAGGATTGAGTTGTAGGCATCGCTTCTCAGAAGTCCTGTCTGCGGTTGGCTTCACACATGATGTGTAATCCATGGTTTGGTTCATCCTAGTTTTGTGAAGGAAGAAGAATTCGGCTGAGTTTTCTCAATGAGCCAGAAAGCCATAAATATGGTTTGTGAACTATGGTTGCTTGAGGCACACAGCCCCCTGAGGTGAAGCCAACCAGGTTAGATTAAGGTTTAGTGGACAGTGTGAACCAGGCCTGCCTCTGGTGTGAGAAAATGAGATAAATAGGATCTCATGTGGACCTGGCAGTGTTCACCCAACATGCTTAACCAGGTTAATGGCAGACTTAGCATTTCCACAATCGGCTAAACCTGGTTAGTTTTAGCTTTGGGTTTGTGACTAGGTGGGTTGTGAGATATCTGGCATGTTGGGGTAGTTTACGGTTTAATGGAAGGGTGTCCCACCTTGGCAACTTTAAGATTAGGGGACTTTAACTCCCAGAATTCCTCAGCTGGCTGGCTGGGGAATTCTGGGACTTGAAGTCCACCAGTCTTAAAGTGCTAAAGTTGGACACCTGGGTTTAATGTATTGTGTGAAGCTGGAAAATGACTTAGTAAATGGGTTAAGTATATTGTTACTTAACATTGTTTACTGGAAGTTGCTCCCACTGATTTCTAATTTGTTGACGGAAGAATCCAGCGAAATACTTGAGTCTGATTTAATTAAGTGGAACACATATTCTTCTCCTTAGTTGTTCCTCAAATAATTACAACAAGCCAGGGCAGAAAAAAGAAAGTGTGGAAATAGTTGTGTATCTCCTTACTTGAGTCTCCTTTGTGAGAATGGGTGGCTGTATAAATTTGATAGAGAGAGAGAGAGAGAGAGAGAGAGAGAGAGAGAGAGAGAGAGAGATGATATAGAAAGATTGATGATATAGATAGATAGATAGATAGATAGATAGATAGATAGATAGATAGATAGACAGATAGACAGATAGATGATTGATAGATGATATAGAGAGATGATTGGTATATAGTCAGATGATTGTTAATGATTGATAGATGATACATAGATGATAGGTAGATAGATAATGATGGATGATAGACAGACAGACAGACAGCAATAGCAATAGCATTTAGTTTTATATACAGTTTCACTGTGCCATCATGGCAAAGAGAGAGAGGGAGGGAGGATAGAGAAATGATAGATATAGATAGAATGATAGATGATATAGATGATAGATAGAAGGATGGAAGGAAGGAAGGAAAGAATTGATGGATGATAGAGAAAGATATGATATAGATAAAGATAGATATCTATAGATAAATATTGATAGCAGATGACAGAGATAGATGATAGCTAGATAGCTAGACAGCTTGATAGATGATAGATAAATATGATAGCTAGCTAGATGATAACTAAATAGATGATAGATAGATAGATAGATAGATATAGCTAGATGACAGCTAAATAGAAGATAGATGATGATAGATAGATATTGGCTAGATGGAAATAAGGAGGAATTAAGTCAGAACAGTTACTTATCAGTTAAACAGCTTGTCAGTTGTAGCTGTGGGTGCTCCTTTGTTGGAGGGATTCAAGAAAAGTTGGGACAACGAACCTGGATGATGTAAGGTCTCCTACTTTGAGCAGGGGGTTGGACTACAAGGCCCCCAAGGTCCCTTGCAGCCCCATGGATTCTATAGTTCCATGATCTTGCAGGTTTAACCTGCCTACAGTCCACTCCTGTTGTCAAGCTCTTCACATAATCAAAACACAAGTCTCAAAGTTGGATTCGCACGACCCATTTCCCCACCACGTTATCCAATTAACCCACATTCTAGATTCCAGTAAGAGACGGAACCACAATACTATCCTGAGGTTGCCGAACTGCGTGCAAGAAAACCGAAGCCTCATTTAAAGCGATTTTGACTCTTCTGCACGAGGCCCGGCCAAAAAATTGTCTGCGGAAATCTGGAATTTAAAGGTCGGGACCTCAAAACTTACAATTTACGTTTTGGAAAACGGGAGTTTTTCTCATAAATTCAGGGAATGTTTTGGGGTTTGTTTGTTTTTTTTGAGCAGGGAGTGTAAATTAGGAGAAAGCTGGAATGCTCATGTTGGAAGAATTATCCTTCTGGGTTCAGTTCCAAGTGGGGGAAAAGACACTGGAAACATGGAGGCTTCTTTGGAAAGTTGGTTTAATGGTGGACAGGACCGCGTGCCGAAGTGAGAAGGACAACCACGTGCTTCAAGATGTTGGGTGAAGGAAAAGAAAGCCCAAGATGCTGAGAGACCCTTAGTTATCTACCAGTGGTGGCTAACCTTTTGGTGCTCCTGTGCCAAAAATTATGTGTGCACTTCTGCGCCAGCACCCAGAAGGCAACGCGCGAAGGTCGTACATTCGGGCCTTGCCGAGTTTGGCCACCCAAACTCAGCTGCCAACATCCAGCGGTCCTCTAGAGCAGTGATCCCCAACCTTTTTTACGCCGCGGCCCGGTACCGGCACCAGTACCCGGTACCGGCATCAGAAATGGCTTCTACCCGGAAAAGCTCACCGGAAGCGCTGGCGCCGCCATCTTTTTTTGATGAAAAAGTGCTTCCGGTGAGCTTTCTACCCGGAAAAGCTCACCGGAAGCACTTTTTTATCAAAAAAAGATGGCTGCGCCCAGCAACCAGCGGCCCGGTAAGACTTGTTCCTCGGACCGGTACCAGTCCACGGACCGGCGGTTGGGGACCCCTGCTCTAGAGGGCAGCAAAATCTTTTTTTTTGCTTCTCTCTTGGATGCCATCTAGTGACTGCCTAATTCATTTTTGCAGCCTGGATCTAATCCACCTCGCACAGGTAGCCTTGGACTTGCAAGAGTTCATTTAGCGGCCGTTCGAAGTTAACAACGGCACTGAAAAAGGTGACTTATGACTGTTGTTCACAGTTCACAGACCTAAGGCTGGAAGGAACCTTGGAGGACTTCTAGTCCAACCCGCTCCTTGAGCAGGAAAGTCTATATCAGTGACGGCGAACCTTTTTGTTGTGGCGTGCCGAAAGCGTGCACGCGCGCACCAACACCCACAATGCAATGGGCCCTCTCCCCTGTGCATGTGCGCACAAGACCCCTTCCCCCACCCCCTTATCAGCACTGCACATGTGTGCGCCTCCCAGATGATTTTTGGCCCATTTGAGGCTTTCTTTTTGCCCTTCTGGAGGCTCGAGGGAAGCCTCTGCAGCCTCGGGAGGCCGAAAAACAGGCCCGTTTTGGCACTTCCGGTATTTCCGGAAGGCCTATTTTTTTTAATATTGGAACGACCCATCAGTGCGGGTGGGAGAATACTAGGCCTCGACGTACAGCCACCACGGAGCCCAACATTTCTTGTTGCTCAATGAGACAGTTGTTAAGTGAGGTGGGTTGTTTGCCCCATTTTTACCTGGTTGTTTACAGTAGTTGAGGGAACGGCTTCGGTTGTTAAGTGAGGGACACTATGCTCCAGCGAGTCTGTCTTTCCCAGTTGTGTTTGATGGTCAGAAGACCACCAAAGGGGATTACCTGACCCCCCTGGGACACTGCAACCATCATAAATACGAGTCATTTGCCAAGTGGCTGCCTTGTCCATGTGGGTGGGAGGATTCTTGGAGGTTCTAGGCTGCGGTTTAAAGGGTAAGCCGTGTATATACAGGGACTAATCCCCCCTCCTTTCCAGCACTGATGCTGTTACCTAGTTGGGTCATGAAACGTCTGCAAGATAATCACCCAGCTCAGAGAGCACAATGGACTCTACAGTAGTTTTCCTCCTCCTCCTCCTCCTCCTCCTCCTCCTCCTCCTCCTCCTCCTCTCTCCACAAACCCCATTCCCTTTTAGCACTGATGATGTTTCCTGGCTGGGTCATGAAATGTCTGCAAGATAACCACCATGCTCAGAGAGCACCGAGGACCCCACAGCCCTCCCTCCCTCTCTTCTTCCTTCCTCTTTCTCCTTCCTTCCTTTCTTCCTTCCTC